GCATACTCAATACTCTGGACAGAAGTGATACATTTGGTAGGTTAAGTGTTGATACTGACTTTATAACCGCTTCATAGTCCTTCGCACAAAACTCTAAGCGTATTTAAAGCTAGTAACGGGATTGATAACTATTTGTTTAGCATATGACACACAATTTGTCATTTTCGTAGAGCTGTTTGGAAAATTTCTGTTGAATACTTATAGAATAAAGTATTTTCAGACTTTTTATCAACTTCTGAATACTTTTTCGAGGAATTCTTAAGGGTTCCCGTCACTTACTCATTCACTCGCATTAAGACTTGCCCTTTCACAGCATGATCTAACAATATGTAATAGATAGTGAACATTATTCGTAAAGATTATTACCATAGGATAAAATTATCATCTATTCATTATATTGTTTTGTTATTTAGTCGCAAGTTTTTGCTATATCTGCTCAGGATGACTACGTACCGAGAGAAGCTGATCTCTTTCACATTTTGATATCAACAACAGGGAATAATAAGCCTATACAAAACCTTTGTACCTATTGAGCATTAGCCAAATGGGTAACATATCGATCATATGAAGTGAAAACTATTAGGTCCGAGCCCTAATGTGAACACCAACAAGGATCTGGAATTACATCCAGTTGATAAGTTACAAATAGGACGAGATACGTGTCCTAGATTCTAAAACTTATATTAGGGTAATTTGATTAATTAACAAATTGAATAAGCAACTGATCAATGTTACAATGTTTCTCGTACCAGTGACCACTGATCATCTGTTTTTTACTTTACTGAAAAGCAAAGACAAGGATCCGAAGAGCTAGAGACAAGATCATGTAAATGAAAGCAAAACAATACATTCTGACATGGGGATATTTAAAAATAAAAAAAACTCTCTTTTTGATTGCTTCATTGATACATAATTATATTTTAAAGGGAGGGGAGGTGGAACGGAGAAGGGACTAATAATAATAATAATAAAGTCAAAAATTGTTATTGGAAATACCTATTAAGATAACGGCTTTCTTGGTTTTATTCTTTAATTTGAATGAAGGAAACTGGTTTCGTCCACCCTCTATAGTTATTTATTAAGCGAGAAGGAATAATAACAAAATGACCATGTTTTTTAGTATGATGTCATATGAAGTGAATGGGTAAAGAAAAGAGATTATTAAAGCAACAAATAAATACTTTATTATAATGGTCTGTTTATTAAGTTGTGTACATTTGTCTTGTTCGGGGCTTATCAAATGGATGTACCTTCACATTTCAATTTCAGTGCTTATTCCGGGACTCGGACTCAGTATCTTTCAATTCAAATACTACTGAGCCCAAATGGTACCGGCTGGTGAAGTGAAGATAAATTTTGTTTCATTTAAATCTATTCGGAATCTAAAGTTCTCCTGAAAGTCCTGTCTTCTCTTTTTCATATTAACGTGTATATCATCAACGTCGAAGTGTTGTTGTGTGTCAAACGTACAGCCTACTTCAGTTTTTATCTGTTGCATTATATTAGAAGAATTCTCAATCGTTCGTAAATAGAATTTATCGAAGGCTAACAGAAAACCCAATACTTTAAACATTATTTTAAAGACAACAGATATATTGCTAATAATAATAATAATAATAATAATAATAATAAGAAGAAGAAGAATATGCGACACTAAAGAAGAAGAATGTATCTGTAAAATCTCAGCGAATGAATTTGAAGTAAATCCAGCGTTTCGCCTGGCAATCTGGTTCAAGCTTTTTCAAGGAAATATAATTAAGCATCAAACAAATTAAACCATTTAAACTCTACCCTCCCAGTTGAAGGAAGAATTATGATTCCCCATGATGAAAGCCGAGATTCTTCGAAAGTCACGAGGACGATGCCCATTCTAACAACCAGAGCAACAATTTTTATGGGTACATGGAACGCCCGGATAATATAGGAGAACGAGAGGACCAGTCAAACAACAAAGGAAATGAGGAGATACAACTTGGCGGTTCTCGGAATCGCGAAACCTATTGGACTCAAGCTGAACAGCAAAGGCTAGGTATAGAAGAGGTGCTGCTGTACTCCGATCACGAAGAGGAAAATTCTTCACACACTCAGAGAGTTGCTTTGATGCTGTCCAAAGAAGCGAGAAGTGCATTTATTGAATGGGAATTTCATGGATCCAGGATCGTCAAAGTATCCTTTAAAACAAAGAAGGAGGAAATCACAATGAATATTATCCAGTGTGATGCACCCATCAATGATAGCAATGATGACGATAAAGATCAGTTCTACGATGGGCTGCAATCGATCATAGTAAAGTGCCCAAGACAGAATCTCACCATTCTGAAGGTAGATCTAAACCCCGAAGTCGGAATGGGTAACAACAGTTATGAAGATATCATGAGACAGCATGGACTGGGAGAAAGCAACGAAAATGGGAAGAGATTTGCAAATCTATGTGCATTCAACAAATTTGTTATAAGCGGCAAAATATTCCTACACAAACGCATACACAAAGCTACATGGGTCTCATCGAACCACACCACGGAGAACCAGACAAATTATATTTGCATCAGTAAAAGATTCACAAGGTTAATGGAAGACGTGAGAACCAGGAGAAGAGCTAATATCGCTACAGATCATAGCTATGGAAACCCTGCAAAAGATTTAAGAGAGGAAGAACAAGAAGACAGCAATTAACAACAGCCGAACGAAGATAGGGAAAGTCAAGGCACAAGCTGAACACTCAGAAGAAAACAAGCAATTGAAGGAGAGCATTAGAGTTGACAAGCAGAAATACGTGGAAGAGCTAGCAACGGCAGAGGTAAAAGTTGCAAGAGGAGAAAATATGAAACAACTATATGACACGATGAAGAAACTGGCAAGGAAATATAGTTAACCAGAAAGACCGGTCAAGAACAAAGAAGACAAGATAATCACAGAGATTCAAGAATAGAGGAACAGATAGGTAGAATGCTTTGAAAATCTCTTCAATAGACCAGTTCCGTTGAATCCACTGGACATCGAAGCAGCACCTACAGACCTTTCTATATATGTCACTCCACCAACGATGAGATAAATCAGGATGGCCGTCAGACAAATCAAGAGTGGGAAAGTAGCAGGACCTGACAATATATCGGCCGAAGTACTAAAGTCAAACACAGAAGTAACTACAAAGATGTTCTAAGTTCTCTTCAAGAGGATTTGGAAGGAAGAACAAGTGCCGAAAGACTGGAAAGGAGGACATCTCATCAAGATACCAAAAAAGGAGATCTGAGCAAATGTGAGAAATACAGAGGCATCAAATTACTGCCATTACCAGGAAAGATTTTCAACAGTGTTGCCGGACCGGATGAAAGACAAAGAAGACACCCAACTTAGAGACCAACAGGCCGGATTCCGCAGGGACCGAATCTCCACACTACGGATCGTCGTTGAACAATCGTCTGAATGGAAATCACCACTGTACACCAACTTCCTTGACTATGAGAAAGCATTTGACAGTGTGGATGAGAGAACTTTATGGGGCTTTCTTCGACGCCATAGTGTACCTAAGGGAATCGTCAACATCATCCGGAGTTCATACGACGGACTACACTGTAAAGTGGTGCATCGAGGACAGTTGACAAACACATTCCAAGTAAGGACCGGAGTCAGACAAGACTGCCTACTATTTCCTTTTCTCTGGTGGTTAACTGGATTATGAAAACCTCGATATATTATGGGGAGCACGGAATAAAATGGACAGGTTGGATGAAACTAGATGATTTGGACTTTGTATATGACCTGACCATTCTATCGCTTGTACATCAACAAATAGAGATGAAGATAAAGAGTGTATCAGCAGCCTCAGAAGTAGTAGGCCTCAACATACACAAGGGAAAAACCAAGATCCTGAAATACATCACAGAAAACACCAATGCAATCACACTTGATGGAGAAATTCTGGAACAGGTGGAAACTGTCACGTACCTACTCGGACAGAATCATCGATGAACAAGGAGGATCCAATACAGATGTAAAGGTGAGGATTGGCAAAGTAAGGACAACATTCTCACAATTGAAGAACATATGGAACTTGAAACAACTCTCAACCAATATCAAAGTCACAATCTTCAATACGATCGTCAAGACAGTTCTATTGTACAGATCTGAAACGTGAAGAATTACTACGACCATCATCAAAATGGTACAAGTATTTATAAACAATTGTCTATGTAAGATACTCTATATCTGTTGACCGGATACCATCAGCAACAGCCTACTATGGGATAGGCCAAACCAGCTTCCATCTGAAGAGGAAATTAGTACAAGATGTTGGAAGTGGATAGAACATATATTACGGAAATCATCAAATCATCACTAGACGATCGCTAAATTGGAACCGTGAAGGGGAACGGGAATGAGGAATGCATAAGAACACACGACTTCGGGACTTGGAAGCAGACATGAAAATGATGAGTAAGCAGATAAAACATAACAGAGACTGTATTGATTTCTTGACATCAGAAAGTCATTGAAAACAAAAGTATTCAATTGTGTACACTTATTCACAAAACAATTAGAATATTAAGCTCTATATAAATAACCTTACTTAGCTTGTAATCTCATTCAGTTTCTCTATGTTACTTACTATGTTTAGTCCTGTACAAATTAAAACGAAGATTATCATCTTCATCGAGAATGTCCCTAAATCTGATCCATCATTAAAACTATTGATAAACATAGAACAAAATAAACCGATGAAATATCTGGTCTCATTTTGATTGGATCATATTCAAGGACAATATTATTTTATTGTTCTACCTAAATAGTGCATATCACCATTACAATAATAAAAATATTTGCTACCATATCTTTTTCCCTCCTTTGTTGTTGCTTATTTTAAAATAAAAATACGATCCAACTACTATGTGATTCATTTTTTTACATTGTATATGCATACACTTGTATGATATATTCAGTTTACGACAAATACATTTGGTAAGTCTCTTGATTTAATCAAGGTAACATTGATAATCATATCAATGAGTCATAGATCTATAATATCTATGATGATGATGATGATGATGATGATGATGATGATGATGATGATGATGATGATGATGATGATGATGATGATGATGATGATGATGATGATGATGATGATGATGATGATGATGATGATGATGATGATGATGATGATGATGATGATGATGATGATGATGATGATGATGATGATGATGATGATGATGATGATGATGATGATGATGATGATGATGATGATTAATGACGGTTATTATTATTATTATTATTATCATTCTATTTCCACAAATCAATCATTCAAGTAAAATAAATGTACTAAATAAATATTTGTTTAAGTTAATTTATATCACCAACTGATGAATATCTAGAATTTCCAACTAAAAAAGAATATTCTGTACATGGATGTCAAGTGGGTAATATCAATCTATTACGATATCTGAATCTATCTTCTATACTAGTTGTAATTTGATGACAGCATAATGAATTGGTAAGATTAAGATAATTGATACTTCACATTTGGACTGAAAGTAGCTGAATGAAAAGTTTAGTCGATGGCAATCAGAAATGACCTTAACTTACTTACTTACTTGAGCCTGTTACTCCTCGTGGAGGAGCATAGGCCGTTTACCAGTACTCTCTATCCAACCCTGTCCTGGGCAATCCTTTCCAGTTGCTACACATCATTTTCATGTCTGCTTCCAAGTCCCGAAGTCGTGTGTTCTTATGCATTCCTCATTCCCGTTCCCCTTCACGGTTCCAATTTAGCGATCGTCTAGTGATGATTTGATGATTTCCGTAATATATGTTCTATCCACTTCCAACATCTTGTACTAATTTCCTCTTCAGATGGAAGCTGGTTTGGCCTATCCCATAGTAGGCTGTTGCTGATGGTATCCGGTCAACAGATATAGAGTATCTTACATAGACAATTGTTTATAAATACTTGTACCATTTTGATGATGGTCGTAGTAATTCTTCACGTTTCAGATCTGTACAATAGAACTGTCTTGACGATCGTATTGAAGATTGTGACTTTGATATTGGTTGAGAGTTGTTTCAAGTTCCATATGTTCTTCAATTGTGAGAATGTTGTCCTTACTTTGCCAATCCTCACCTTTACATCTGTATTGGATCCTCCTTGTTCATCGATGATTCTGTCCGAGTAGGTACGTGACAGTTTCCACCTGTTCCAGAATTTCTCCATCAAGTGTGATTGGGTTGATTGAAATTCGAATGGGCTTAAATCTGATGAATAGCACACTAATGTATAAAGTGTTGATGAGACAAAAATTTATATGAACAACTATGATCTAAATTATCAGTCAATGTAGGATAATGAGATTTAGGTCTACGTTGTAACTAATAGTTGACACAGGTTAAATTATCATTTGACGATTTTAGTGGCTCCTGAACAATGATCAGAGGCTGTATTAATAAGGAATTCATATCCAAAACAATTCCATTGGATTAATGAATAAATTAACTGGTAAAAAGGAATAAAAATTATGCACAATTCATAATTTTACACAAATCACACCATTTTATTAATATCGATTGCTAATAGCAATGTAAGCTGAGTGGCGATTAAATAATGAAGCCAGTTATAAAAAACCAATGTGAAATTTCTTTTCTCGTTTAGAATTCCTGATTGGTTTAATTCATAAAATGGACCGCAGAATGTGAATTTACGAATAAATGATAGTACCTTCTGAATAAATAATGAATTATTGTCAGAAGGGGTTTTGTGGAGATTGTAGTAATTTCAACAGTTGAGATCATGAGTCAATTGAAGCCAGACCACCATGGGAAACCTGGAAGCACTGAACGGCAGTTCGCGAGGCGGGGTCGTGGACGCGCACTGCTGAGGAGTCCCACAATAGGTTGAAATGGCCGTCCAATGCTTCCAGGTTTTCCATGGTGGTCTAGCTTCAATTGACTCATGATCTCAACTGTTGAAATAATAAATTATTGACTGAGACTCCTAGAAGTTAATTTGGTATATGAAATTCAATTTTCCCTTTCAGAACTGATTAAATGTGGCTGTCCGTATTTCACTATCTTCATTCACTTTTACCTTGTTTTATATATATACAATTCACTTTGTTTCATTTGAATTTAGCCTTCCTACTACGAATAATGTGGTTGTTTTGTTGAAGGTTTTTAAGAAATTTTGGTCTTTACTTCATTCTACTTAAATGCTATTTTAGTAATATATCGATGTTAAGTTAGTATTTATTATGTGACCAAATACGTTATTACGGCATTTAGTAGTAAAAATTTATTTCTAAAACAAGAGGTTATACGAATTTTATCATGAAGATCATGGCAATGAATAGATTTGTAAATAGGTGTTCTGTTGTCAGTTTGACTACTACGTTACCCCCTTACATCTCGCTCTTTTTAATAATAATTTTTGTGGCACATTGTGACATAAAATGAACAATAATTTCAGCTGGAATTCACTAGCCCGTCCATTCTTTAAATGACAAGAGGGCTGACTTGAATATCTCATTCACTATACCATCACTACATAAAATAGTAAGGTGAATGGGAAATGTTTGTTGTCACTGACAATGACCATAGTGAATGATCACTACTCGTGATTTGCACTTTGTATATATACAGATTGTTTAGTGAATTAGTGGGAATGATTAGTTTCTCGAAAACACATCAAATGTGAAATGTTTCAAGCAAATTTGGTATGTTGTAAAAGTCACTGGTGTGCTTACTAACTTATATGATTCAGCCTTCTACCCATGATGGGGCAGAGTTCATTGACTGGATTTCCACGTATATATATCTTGGATTTTCTTTTCCAGTTGACAAAAGGTGTCTATGGTTTTGATATCTGCCTCCGATTTATGGCCCCATGGGTTATCCAGTCTACCACTTCTTTTCTTTTCTTGAGGATTCCAAATTAGGGATTTTCATGTGATACATTTTGGTAGTTTCCTCAAAATTTGTTTTCTTTAAAAAACTCCTCATCTAGCAACTGGTTTGCTCGTTCCCCGAGTGAATTATACTTGATAGACCCTGGCAAATCAATATGAAATATCTTTTGTAGACAGTTGTATATAAATATCTATATATTTTTGATTATTATTATTATTGTGGTAATTCTCCATGTTTAATCTACGTACAATAGAACTGATCTGAGATGTTAATTTAAAATTCAGAAAATACTCAAGGGTAACATTTATTTTGTTTTTCATACATGCAACAGTAGTTGGAATACTGCTCTTGACTTGCCTATTTATACCTTGATATTTGAATTCGATCCTCCTTGTTTATCAATGATGATTTCCAGGTACATAAAGGCTTATCACTATACAGCAAATAGTCCATTAACTTAAATTCGATTCTGTTCTCATTCATGAGAATGATAATTTAGGTTAAACTATTAATGCAGATGCAATGAGCTTAGACTTGAATCTTTATGGAAGCTAAGAATTAAACTAGATTTAATCTTTCTCAACAAAATACTAAATAGATGATCTTTCACATACACTGTTGGAATTCAATATAATAAATCATCTAAAACAATAGATAAGCATGAAACTATGAAATTTAATAATACGGCAATTTACAAATACTAAAGATTCACAAAATTAGGTCTAATTTAAATTAGTATGCTGTACTCAGTATGTCTAATGTTAGATCCCTATCGTTCCCAGCTTCCACTAGATCATGATTTCCAGTACTCTTCTGTTATAACTTATGAACCTGTGTGCCCTGTTTATTGTATAACGCAACGATACCGCTAATCAGAGAGCAGAGAATTATCGTCGAACAAGTGACGCATAAAACGCGTGCGAGCAGCCTAGAGTTCTTATCGGTCTCGCTTCCTGTCTAGCCCCGTCACTTAGGTCCAGAACACTAATCTCAGCCTCTGCAATATGGAACATTTATTTCAAACATACTTGGCTTATTTATCAACCAGACAGACCACAACGTACCATAAAATATGAAACAACATTTGTACAAGAATTAGCCAAATGTGGCTGTGAGTAAGGGAGATAGTAATTAATAGACAGGCCATAACTCAAGAATAGTAAATCGTATAGTAATAGTCTATGGGTCAAATTAAAGCTTATAATAAGAGCGACATGAATATGAACAGTTAAGTTGTACAACAATTATACGATAAAAATATACTCAGAGTATTGGTCCGTAAATGGATCCCGAAAGTTACCATTCATTATTCTTATCGGGATATAACATCTTCCATACCTACCATCTTAATTTCGTCCCCCTATATTATATTCTCAATGTTTATTCCTTCTGTTACAGTCATTTTTACTCCTTTACCAACCATTATGCGAAGTTCATTTTGTTGTGTTTGTGTGGTAATAACGACTTGGTTTAGCCCATATGTGTGCCGACCTCTAAGTTGTTTGTGATTAATCATGCACCCCAAAAGACATGTAAAAGTCAAATCGGAAGTCATAAATGGAGAGGTTCGAAAATATATTTGAAAGGCTATCGATATATCGGGAAGTGTTTAATCTAAGCTGGTTAACGGTTGTAAGAGATGAGCAGCACGGCGTATCCACTCGTGATCTGGTGAGGATGCGTGACTGAACTCCTTCGACTAGGTGTTTCAAGTGAAAGTAATGAAGTCAGCATCAAATGTTGAAGACTTATAGAACTATTTATTTTGGAGATTTGTTTACCGATACATATGTAATCATTGTACTCAATGACCATACTTACTAGCCTTACATTCCTGAAAGTATTTCACATTTACACTGTCCGTGATTGATTTGAATAATATAAAGAATAGCTGTCTAAATTAATGGATCATAAAACAACTTAACACTTATATGATACTGAAGTTATCACAATAATTTTTACAGCTTTTGTTGTGTCTTCCGTATTCTCTCTTTGTTTTCTTCTGGTTTTATATTACTGCGAGAATTCCATAATGACACTAGAATTAATTTTATTCATACATCAATAGCGTGTCTTATTACTCCAACTAAGAATTAATGCATCCCAACTACTACCTTACATTGTCTTGATCTTAGTAACAGTATCTGCTTGAAACAATTTATCACTGTTCCGGTCTCTCACACTATCTGGACATTCCATGTTAATCTCAATCGATAAGAGGAAATAAACCAATAAATTTTGAGTTAAACGCCTACCTCAGAAGACTCATTTAATCCCAGACTGTTTATTATTTCTGACCCTTTTTATTTAACTGCCAATTATCAAATTACACCAGTTATATAAGCATGATTAACCCTTGTCATTGATTAGTTTTGTTATGTTCTTGCTACTACTCGATGGGCATGTCTATTGT